CAACTTGTTCAAGTGCCGACTAGTGGAGAAAGCCTTTCATCAACTCCCTGGTGTGGACTTGCAGGATACGTTTAGCCCTGTGGTCGAACCTGTCACAGTCCGCACAGTTTTCACCATTGCGCTTTCTCACAATTGGCCGATCAAGCAGTTCGATGTCAACAATGCTTTTCTACAGGGGCCTCTTGAGGATGAAGTCTATATGGTACAACCCCCTGGGTTCGTTGATCCTCAACACCCTACTTATGTGTGTCGTCTCCGCCATGCCATCTATGGCTTACGACAAGCACCTCAGGCTTGGTATACTACTCTCAGCAATTTTCTTCTTACTTTTGGCTTTAAGAAGACACAGTCTGACGCCTCGTTGTTTGTGTATCATCGTTGCGGGGTAATCATGTACTTCCTGGTCTATGTTGATGATCTTCTTCTTACGGGCAATGATGAGGCCACCCTCTCTGCTTTTCAACTGGCCTTGGCTCGACAGTTCTCTCTGAAAGAACTTGGCGATGTTAATTACTTTTTGGGAATCGAGGTCATCCCTACGACCACAGGTTATGTTCTCTCCCTGCACAAGTATATGACTGATATTGTTACTCGGTTTCATATGCTTGATGCAACGTCAGTATCCACTCCTATGGGCTATGGCCTCCTCCGTTACTCTTTCTGTTCGTGATGGTACTCCTCTCACCGATGCCACCCGATATCGCTAGGTTCTCGGATCCCTCCAGTATCTTGTCTACACTCGTCCGGACATCGCCTTTGCTTTCAACAAGCTCTCTCAGTATATGCATGCCCTGACCATCTCTCATTGGCAGAATCTCAAGCGCCTGCTCCGCTATGTTTGTGGTACACTATCCTATGGTCTTGCTATTTGCCGCTCTGCTAAGCCTTTGAGCCTCACTGCTTTCGCTGATTCTGACTGGGCTGGTAATTTGGATGATCGTACTTCCACTTCTGCCTTCATGCTCTACTTAGGGGAGACCCTTATATCCTGGCGTTCACAGAAGCAACGTACTGTTGCTCGCTCCAGCACCGAGGCTGAATATCGTGCCATTTCCCATGCCACTGCAGAAGTCGAATGGGTGTAGAATCTATTGACTAAACTACATCACCAGCTGGCCTCTCCACCGACTCTCTCCTCAGATAATCTTGGGGCTACATGTTTCAGCTCCAATCCTGTTATTCACTCTCGTATGAAACACCTCGCCCTCGATTATCACTTTGTTCGTCAACTTGTTCAGGCAGGCCGTCTCACTGTTCGCTATGTTCCTACGGCTCAACAGCTTGCCGACACTCTCACTAAGCCGCTGCCAGCTGCTCGGTTCCTTCTCCTACGGTCCAAGATTGGAGTCGTTGACACTACCTCCATCTTGCGGGGGCGTATTAGAGAAAAAGAATAATAGTTCTTTTCTTAATTTTGTATTTAACTTAGTGCATTAAGTGCACCTATTAACCTGCACCCACTACATCACTCCCCTGTAAACTCTCTGTTTCCATCTAACAAACCTCCTGTAATTATGTATAAAGCAGAAGTTGAATCCAAGTGGCAAATCACGTTTTGATTGCTTCAGAATATCTCCACTTCAATTCTGTTATTCCTTCAAAACAAACACAATTTCTGGGCACGTTAAGTGTGCTCACGGTCTAGCCCAATCAACCAATTTCATAATCAACACGTACCAAATAGGAGGGTTGTAATTTGTAAATGAGTCGAACGACTAATGAGCGGTTTCCCATCGGATTCAAAAAAAGTCTATTCAAAATTTAATATGTTATGAGTTAAATTAGAGATTAACCATGTTTATTTTGCGAGCCAGCTCAATTCGGTGGCCTGTTGAGTTCAAATCATTAACTAACTCGTTCTGAGCTCATGAGCGGCTCGTTAAAGTGGCCAGCGAGCCAACTCGAATATTAGCTTATAAGTGAATCTCTATTTTTTATGTAATCCTGGATTGTGATTCAAAACCATTTTCATTGATGTTCAAATAAGAAACCAAGGCAAGGAAGAAGAAGCTGAAAATTTGGCTAAATCTGGGAAACAGTTCGTGGTACCTACTTTGGATGCGTACTCGTTTTGTTTGGGAGATATCCGAAGAAAGGTAGGAGTTGGAGATGAAAGTAGAAGTATCTCTAAGCATCGTGAATGCATTGGATTATTGATTTGGAGCTTCCTGGACACTAAACGAGCAGCCTGAATATCTCATGGTGATCAGTCAAAATCCACAGTTAGGTAGCCAATTCAACGACCGTGGAATCTGGAATGGAAGGAAAGACTATATTTTGCGCAGGGCAGTTCCACAGTCAGAGACCCCAACCCTTTAAAAAATAATTTTTATATATTATACCCAAACCCTATTGCAACCTCATTCTCCGTCGCCAACAACACCTTGCACGACGCTCCTCTCCCTCTTTGGTTCAGCAACGCTCCTCTCTCTTGAACCCTCCTACCATCGTCGAGATCTCTCTCACTTCCGCGATTCTATGTCACTCCTCTCTCGCTAGCCGCTTACCTCCGTCAACGCTCCTCTCTGTCGTACTGTCCTAGATTTGGGGTTTTTATTTGTGCAATTTTTCATTGATTTGTTTTATCAATCGAGATTTGAATTCAAAGGGGCTCTCCGCATAAATGGTATAGTTTTGTTTTTTTAATAACTAGCTTATAACCCGGCCTCTTGGCCAAAATATTTATATTTGATTATTTATATTTTTATGTTACGTTTAAGTCTGTCTACCTGTTTAATTTTATTAACAATTCTTCGATCGAAATGATACATAAAGAAATAATATATAGGTCAAACATTAAGAGAAACATCACAATCATTTAAGAATATGAAATATAAAAATGTATCATTGATTCCATTTTCATAATGATAATTAAGCCCCGTTTAAATGTTATTGGTTAGTTGATTGTCAAGAAAGATAGAGTATAAAAGCTCGCTCGAATTCCCACACGACTCATAGAATCAATCTTACAATCCTACATAAAGGGTTCAATGCTCTCCTTTTAGGAAAAATATGTCACCACTAATAAAAAAGAAATGGAGAGTTGTTGTCTTGTTGATTTAAGTCAACTATATACTAACAACTCAGCTAAGAGTGGACCATCAAAACTTGAGAGCAAACGAAAAATTAGAGTTACCTCCAATATACTAATAGACTCGATCAAAGTAATAAGACACAAAATTAGACACTCATTATCTATAAGGTCCTTGTTTTAAGATATAAATAGGTTGTGATAGCTGCAAAAACCATAAACCTAAAGATCCAGTAGCCACCACTCTTTGTCGTACAACCAATTTTTTATTCACTCTATCGTCAATTTCAAGAGGCATATGTCTCAACCAAAAATTCTATTTCTAATCCTCCTTTTGCAACTCCATTTATTGAACTCGATTCTATTCGCCATAGATTGATATTGGAGTCGAAATCTTCTACTTGCCAGCTTAAATCCCCAACAATAAAATCGTAGTGCCCAGAGATACCAGAAGATTGATTTTTCAAAGACGACCTTGTACTGTGAAGTGAAAGGGGCGCAAACTATTGTACGATTTAGGGAATTTCGGAGGAAGTCAGAAAGAGATAAGAACAAAGATAAAAAAAAGACACAAAAAATATATTTAAATTGAAAAATACATACGGTAGACTTAGTGGGCTTGCTAATCATGATGGTAAAGTCCTTAAATTTTCAGAGTTTAACTTTGTGTATGTTTTTTATTCAAAAAGATATAATAAATTTGTTTAATGTAATTGGTTGTAATTGTTGTCTTTTCGGGAAGAGACTCAGATTCAAATCCTTGTATTGATATTTTTCTATGTGAAATAAATAATTAATTGTAAAGACCAAATTGTCCTTCCTACTTTCACTCTCGTTGCAGGAAATTTGAAATGGAGAAAAATACACAAAACTCTACCATATATTATTGGAGGATGGTATTGATTCATTGCTGAAATGATAATGTTTTATTTTCATAGTAGTAGTGGTATTGGTTGGTTTTGGTATTGATTTGACTCTTGTAAAAGTAGAGATTATTCATACTGGTAGTTTTTTCCATGTACTGGTACTATTCTCATAATGTTATTGATTATAACTTTATTGGTATTGATTAATATGGTAATGATATTGATTTTTATTGTAATGATATTGTTTTTGTTAACACTATGTTTCCGAAGGAAGGGAAGAAAAAGAGGGGAAGTGAAGGAAAATTAGGAGGGGAGGGGAGATTTGGAGGTGAAGGAAATTGAGAGAAAAATGTTGTTTTATGGAGGAAAGTGAGAAGGAAAGTGTATATTGGGAATTGTGATAAATATGTTATTTTATTGGTTATGTAGTAGTAAAATAATTTGATTCTATGTTAATATTCTATTAACTTATGAATTGTGAATTAAATTTGTACTTTCTTTCTAAATCGGACCAGAGATTGTACCAGAAAAAAATTAGTGGTTGGGTATTTTATTCTAAAACCGTGATTTAACCACATCAATTATTTAAAAATAGAGACTTTATAATAATTGATCAAGCATTCTAAATTGATTAAATTTATTCAACTATTCTAATACGACTTTTACTAGTTGTCCACTATTCTCATGAGTTTGGTGTAGTCCATACCGAACCGTTGCACGGTTTCCCTAATTAATGAAAGAAAAAGTAGCTAGAAAAAAACATAGGAAACCCCATAAAAGTAGCTAGAAAAAAACATAGGAAACCCCATAAATGGGACGCAGATAAAGGATTGGAGCATGGATCAGGAAACCGGATCGTACCGGCCGGTTCAACAGGAAAAACCAGGAATCGGACCAAGAACGATACGGTAGGCTGGTTGGCATCAGAATCTCGTGTCGGCTGGTTTTTCCGACTTAACCAGTACAAAAGTAAATACCGTGCGGTTTTGGTCTAACCGGCGGTAGGCTTACTTCAAGGAAAAACGTTACCGTTTTTGGAGCTAAATTTTCTTTGAAAAAAAAAAAATAATCGGCCAGAGACCAAGAACGCCGAAAACCCTAATATGGGTTTGGGAGCCCTTTCCTCCAGTCGTTTCTTTCTTCCCCAGCGCCTAGCCTTGCCCGCCGCTCCTCCTCTTCTCCTCTGGCCGTCTGGCGACTGCGACCGGCAAGGCGGCGACCCAGGCGAAACCAAGGAGGAAACCCGCTCCGCCGCTCGTCTTCTCTGGCGATTGGCGATTGTCGCCGATCCCTACCGCTGCTCTTCTTCTCTACTACTCAGCCGACCGCCTGCTAGAGTCTCCCTCCCATGCTGCTCAAGAACGCGCCGATCCCCGCCCTCGCTCCTCTTCTCTCCTACTCAGCTGCAACGCCTGCTTGAGTCTGTGATCGAGATGGGGATTAGCAAAACTAGGGATTAGATTTCTCAGAGAAAGGGGAAAATGGAATTGAGAGAGATACATGAAGAGAAAGTCTTCTTTCTATTCCTCCATGTTTCGGAAGCGACGTGGGCTTTCAAAGGGTTGGGCCCATATTAACAATAAAACCTTAATAGTTAAGGAGGAATGAAGGGAGAAATTATTTGGGCTTAAGACTTAGCCCAACCGAAATGCTAACCAAAACCATCTGTACTCTTCTACTTCCTTGGAACGAATTTCTTTTGATTGGAATTTTGGATGTTATCGGTATATTCCGGTATTACTTCGAGACGGTACCCTGAATATGTCGGTATGGTTTTTTAACAAAAAAATATTATTTAATTACAGAAACGGTATTTTACCGGTACACAATGGTTGAACCACAGTCGTACCACAAAATACCCTACCACAGATAGGTCCGATATGACTTCCGGTACGGTTTCCTTTACCATGAATTGGAGACCCTTTCCCTCCCTTTTCTCTCCGAATTGGAGGGTGGGATTGAATAGTAATTCTTCTTTCCACATTTTCTCTCCTGACAACTTTCTTTCCTTTCCAAACGAAGGAAAGTTTCTTGGTTCTCTCATTTTCCACCCAAACTTTTCCGTTCCTCCCTTTTCTCTCCTTCTAGAACAGAGGGTTAGTGTTTTAAGTGATTTGGTATTGATTAAATCTAAAATGATATTGGTTTTTTCTAAACAATATACACTAGCATACCCAATATACTCTGGCCAATACTAGGATACCACCATAAAAAAGTGCAACATGGGTGCCGCTGTTTCTTATTTGTCCATGTGAGCAGTGAAGTGGCGCTGGTTGGATATATGAAGTTCAGCCCAAACCATATGTGCCATGAAAACTGGCCCAAACCGTCACTATCAAAGTAACGGACAAGTGATGACCCTTTACTTCCGTCTTCCCAACCGTTCAGTGTTTTGTTTGTTATTCCAATTAATTCATTTAACTTTGAAGTGCATTTGTTTATCTTCTGGAACCAAAAAATGAGAAATAATGAAAAGGCAAACCTGAAGGTCTTCTTCCTCGGAAAAAATCTCAAAGTACACTAGTTGTTAAAAAAAATTCCCAAAATACATAAGTTATAAAAAAAATTCCAAAACTACACATGTTTAGCATTCACCGTTTTTTGACAAACGCAGTGAAGATTATCACCACGTTTGACAAAAATGGTGAACCAATAGCGAGTCAATCACCGTTTTAAAGTAAAATGGTGAATACTTCACCATTTTATTCAAAAGCGGTGAAGTTTAAACCGTTGCTCTGGGCCACGATGAAGCGACGCGGATCGTTGACGTGGACAAACGCGGTGTATTCACCGCGTTAGACAGACACGGTGAATACTCCGTGTTTGTTTGCGTCGGCGATCCGCGTCGCTTTTCCTTTCACTGTAGCCGTCAGATGTTGTGAGGCGCGAATCATGGTTTTCTTCCCAGATCCGACGCCTCACACCTGGTCCACGTCGCCCCCATCACCGTCTTTGACATCCGCGGTGTATTCACCGCGTTCGACAAAGGTGGTGAAGCATCCCCGAAATTAATCTCGCCAGATCCCTTCCCCCCTTCCCCCAACTATAAATAGACCCCCCCCCCCCCCCACTTACAAATCACACCACAACAATTATTCCTCTTTCTCCCTCACTTTATCCGCTCTAGTCTTGTTCTAAGTATGCTCTATGGTTGCAGATAAATCCGATCTTCCACGTCAGAAAGAATTACTAGAGTTTGACCCTAAAGCCCCCGTCCCGCTAAGCTCCCGTCCCTTACAAACCTGAACCCATCGAACATCTGTCCGGCTTCTGCCAAAAAATGGACGAAGAGGCTCTTCGTGTAGTTTTTTTTTAATCATAAAAATTTGATTTTGTGATTTTTTTTATCAAAACAATCTCTGATTTCATTACTTTTTTTATAGATGGGTGCCGAGATATACGATCCTCGATTGTATATCCATTATGGGCCAAGAGATACAAGACTCTTAACCGATCAAGAAGCTCATCGCTCCCGTACTATTTGGGATAACAATCCGGTAATTTGATGATTTATTTGCTTTATTTTATTATTTTCTAAGGTTTTATTTTGCTTTATTTAAACTAACAAATTGATGTTTTTCCTATTTTTTTGAAGGAATCACTTATTCCCGTCGTTCATAAAGGGACCAAAAACTTGCCCCTTTGCCATCCACGGTTGGCGCCCTATATAGAGAGGACCGGGTTGGGTATGTTGCGCCTTTTCATGCGGATCGAAATCGACAACGATCTACTTACGGCAATGGCGGAGCGATGGCGTCCCGAAACCCATACGTTCCACCTTCCGGAGGGGGAACGATCACCCTCAAAGATGTGGCGATCCTCACCGGGATGCCGATTTCTGGAGATGCCATCATTGGTTCCACTACCAAACCCGAAGGAGGTTGGGGGCCGCTCATTCTTGCTGAATTGGGATTTGACATGCCGACCACCACACCAATTCAAGGATGGGGGCATCCACCGTTGAATGAGGGACAAGTGTCGGTCCCATGGCTGGTAACTCACATCCAGAATGAGGTGGAAATCAATGACGAGACTCCGGAAGATCAAGTGGAGCGCTATGCACGCATCTACCTCATTGGTCTGGTGGGTGGATTTCTGTTCCCCGACAAGTCAAACCGGTGGATTTAAGGCATATGGTTGCCATTGCTCACTGGTAACTGGGACGCAATCGGGGAAAAGAGTTGGGGATCAACCGTGTTAGCTGGCATATACCGGGAGCTGTGCACTTGCTCGAAGGTGGTAGCAAAACAAGCTGGTGCTGCGATCGGGGCCGTAGCCAGGATTTTGTCGAGGGTGGGTCCATTTAGAAAAAAATACGATAAAATAGTTTTGTTAGCGTTTTAAATAATTCATGATATACTTTTGTATTTACAAAAATTTGGTAAATTAATTATAGATCGAAACTCTCAAGAATATCACTCTGTATATATCAACCAATTATTAATGATTTAGTTAGACATTTGCTTTTGAATGGTGTTCTTCGTCAAGACCATTTAGTACCAATAACTCAAGTTTTTGTGAAAGATTTAATAATAGACTTATACTATTTAACAATGTTTTTCGTCAAGACCAGTTACTACCACTTTCCCGCTAACGAAAACCAACTATTACGTGCTTAAATTTTTCGCAAATCCGAATATCATGTGCTTTACAAAAGGGGTCGCCAAAATTCGAACACAATGATCTCTCGGTCAACCATTCTCAATTAGAAGTGTCTTAAATTTTCATTTTCATTCTCAATTAAACATTATACTATTTTACTCAATTTTGTCCTTAGGGGCCACCCGTTACACTCTCTCTACCCCTGATTGAAATAAAATTATTTTTATAAATTAGCTATGATTTGGTGAATTTGTTCGAGATGTTAAACAAATACATCTTTAATTTTGGGGGGATCATATGCACCATTATCATTTGTACAGAACTCGTTATAAAAACATTGTATATGTCAATACACAACTTATATCATTCATCAAATATTTGAAAGATCAACTATTCTCATTTAAATACGTGTTATTTTTCATACCCGATTTACTATTATACCTAATTTATTATTTTTCCTCCCGAACCAGGGTGGGTCCCGGGACCCACCCTCTAACATTCTCCCTCCGCCCCTGGCTGCGGTGTTTATCCTACAGCTGTGGGTATGGGAGCATCTTCCAATGTTCGCACCTCTAGACCCACGTCCATACCAGAGAGCCGATGATGAGCTAAAATTTCTGCAAAATCCCCCTTACAGTGTCAAGTAAGTTTATTCCGTACTTAGCCTAATTTAAAATTATTCCATGATTAGCTAGATTTCAATTGAAATTATTTCATACTTAGCCTAATTTAAAATTATTCCATGCTTAGCTAGATTTAAATTGAATTTAATCCGTACTTAGCCTAATTTAAATTTAGGGCTAATACCACTACAACACCCGAACTATGACGAAAATGTCACTTGTATCATATTCTTTTCAATAATCCATTCATATCCTGAACTATCATATTTTGTGTCATTTGTATCCTGCCAATTTCGTTGACCGTTAAAGATAACAGTTGACCAAACGGCGGTCAACTTAACATTGACTTTTGCTGACGTGGCGGTGCCAAGTCATTGACACCTCACATTTTTAATTTATATTATATAAAACTTTGAAAATAAAAAATTGAAAATCCTTTAAATTCAAGAATATTACTAAATAATATTCTAAAACCCCAAAATTCAAATAATAAAAAATCTCCATTGATTTCGTCGATTGTCCCTCTACTATCTGCTTGGTGCTTTCCCGTCGATACTCCAATCGCTGAGCTTGAGGAGCGGAGGAGCTTCGCCATCCATGGGTTAGGATCTCTTCGGATCTGAAGGTTGTTGCGGTGGTAGAGGAGAGACGATTCCCCTCCCCAACCTTCGATTCCCCTCCCCACGACCTTCGGTTCCTCTCAGATTCACCGGGTAAAGGTAGCATTCAGGGACTTTGTACAGGACAAGCTCGACGCCATTGCTTCGCCACCGCGCCCGTGTTCCCAGTGACGGCGCTGAACTCCGCCAGCACCACCGTCCCCCTAGCAACCACCGCGTAGAGAATCGCCATTCTAGCCCTCTCTCTCTCTCTCTCTCTCTCTCTCTCTCTCTCCTCTGAATCAAAACTTCCGCCCCCTTCGTGCGTCTTCACTTTGAACTAATTCATAGGAGGTGGCACGGATTCCAGTTCCCAATTGGAAATTGGGATTTGTAAGTTTTGTTTGTTGAATTGGAATCGGGATTAGGAATTTAAGCTTACAAATAATGGAGTACCGGCAGGCCAACAAAAGCTTACGGCCAGCGGGAAGGGGTTAAGGGATGGCCTCTCTCTCTCTCACCCCCTCCTCTGCTCCACCATGGTTGCGCTGCAGATCTGGCCGGCGGGGGAGAGCAATGAGGGAGATGAAGTTTTTTATTTTTATTGTTGGTATTTTATAGTTCTGTTTTTGTAAG